ATAAAGTGCAACGACCTGTACTTGACACAATGCACTTGTTATTGAACAATTGTACTGAATTCACACGTTTTTATTTCATTTGGTCTACAATGACTGTCAAACTTCGTACTTTAATGATTTTATTTAAAAAATCTAGAAAAACACACTTAATAGTAGAACGAATTAAAAAGTTTTTTTTTTTTTTAAACAAGTGTTTCTGGTCAGAACCAGGTTAGGAATCACATTGTATTGTCATCGTTTCTTGATCATGTACCAATATTCAAGTTAATTAGATGTTAATTTTATTGAAAATTAAGTAAATTGAACGAGGTTTTGGTGTCATTCGACAAGGAAATGTCAAATTTGGATTTAACGGAGCAACAACTCACACCAGATCAAATGCTTTAACTTTACAATACTGAAGTTAGATTTCGCATGAACCACTACCCTTAATTTTGGGCTGAGACTTCCAAATCACAGTTGCTTCCATTCTCGGTCCTCTTCAAAAACTTGCCGTTCCTATCATCAGGGAAACTGGATCTGTAGGGATTGCGGACGAACCTTGGGTCTCTCAGTAGGCTTAGTGTACTCTATCGTATATTTCCATCGGGAGTGTTCTGAAGGTCGTTTCTAGGTGGTATTATCTTCTGCATTTTATCACCTCACCACTTTTTACCTTTGTGGTGTTAATTCCTGTATCAGAAATCTCACAAAGAGTTTCTGCGTCTTTGAGTCTTACCAGTGAACTATAAATTATCTTACTAGTAATTTTAACTGTAAAGATTTGTTTTATTTCTGATAGAAAAAAAGCAAGATTAAGCCGCAAAGGTGTTTTTAATTATGTCTACTAAATGGCAAAACTGAAGAAAATACCATATTGAACTTTCTCATCGGAACAATTTTCGCCTGGAAACTGCGTTAATATCACTAAATTTTTTTGAAGTATTGGTGACTTTGGACCTTATCCAAACTGTTTCAGGATGATTTGGCCAGTGTCCAGAATGGGCCATAATCGAAAGAATTGTTTGTCATCTAAAGAGTTTGCTTGATTTTTCATTTATATAGAGGAATGCGGTGGACCGACCAAATTAAAACTGCAGTGGGAGGTCCCCTAAATGAGTGCAGTAGAATGGCCTCGAGCAGGGAGAGATGGCGCGACATCGTGAGACGCATCAAGTCTGCCCCTTCCAACACTACATGACGATCACGACCACTCTGTCAAGAGTGACACGACTGAGAAGAAGAAGAAGAAGAAGAAAGAGGTAGCGGAGACATTAGGAGTTGAAAATTGAATAAATGAAGAGCGAGATTTTAATCGGCTTACTGTAAAATGTAAACTATATCTATTTGTAATGTTTATTGTTTAACCAGTATATAACGTACTATATCCCCAATTTTAATAGATTCACGATCAATACTATCGTACATTTAGTAAATTGCCTCTGAGATAAATAAATAAATATTTACTAACAATCACGCCACGTTAACTGGTCCCGTGCTAAGTTCGTAAAGAACTTGTGTTACAGGTACCAGATAACGGAAATAAATGTAAGATTTTTATTATACACATACATATATTTAATATACATCCATAACCCTGGAAAAGACATTTATATTTATCATACAAATATCTTCCCTTGGCGGGATTCGAACCCGCGACCCCCGTATGTAGTGACCATGTCACTTACCACTACACCAGACGGCCGTTAAAGCACGAATACAAAATCAATTGACTTACAATTATTCAACTCTGCTATACAACTTGAGAAACGAAACATTTGTTGATTGAAGGACTAGATAATGACTATAATCAAGATAAAACTTCGACTGAGAAACTTTCTCCATTTTGATCCGGTTCGTATTATGGGTATGTGGAAAAAAATATTCAATTTGATTGCTCTTTTCGTCCAGACGCTTGCCCGAACGCCCGAGGTCTTAAGGTCAATAATTATCACTTACTACCAACTTCGTTTTACGCAATTTAAGCTTAGGAGGCAGTTTTAAAGGACATTTATAGAAATTCTGCAACTAGACTATTCAAATTTTTTTTATTGCTTAAATGGATGGACGAGCTCACAGCCCACCTGATGTTAAGTGGTTACTGGAGCCCATAGACATCTACAACGTAAATGCGCCACCCACCTCGAGATATAAGTTCTAAGGTCTCAGTATAGTTATAACGGCGACTCCACCATTCAAACAGAAACGCATTACTGTTTCACGGCAGAAATAGGCGGGGTGGTGGTACCTACACCCGTGCGGACTCACAAGAGGTCCTGCCACCAGTAATTACGCAAACTCAACCTCACACATTCATCGAATATAATTGACACGCTATTAATTACTTCACTCAGTTTATGTATTTAGTGCGCGAAGATTTTAAATGTGAATGTCGATAGAGAACACGATAAAATAAAATTGGTTGATTTTTAAAGTACTTTACTTTGTAGTGCTCAAAGTTAAAAGCAAGTAACACAATAAATACGATCCCAAATCATCGACAGATTCAACTGAACCTTTATGAAGCCCTCTCATAAATCTTTATCGTAAAAAAAAACTCGTATGCGTCCGTTCTAATACTTTCTAATTTCGTAGCTCCGAGCGAAACAAATAAGAGCAATAAAGTTTCAGATACGACGAGGATTGTGGTACTTCTTTGATGGGATATTGAAAATGCACTGTCATTCTCTTATTGTGTACTTGAAATTTTGGGTATAAATTTTGGTCGAACTGACTTTCTGACAATACGTGTAATGCTTACACGTGTAGTTTGTAGCAAAAATTTTAATATTTATGTTTGTAGTGTAAGTTTCGACGAGGATTGTGGTACTTCTTTGATGGGATATTGAAAATGCACTGTCATTCTTATTGTATACTTAAAATTTTGGGTATAAATTTTGGTCGAACTTACTTCTGACAATACGTGTAATGCTTACACGTGTAGCTTGTAGCAAAAAATTTAATATTTATGTTTGTAGTATAAGATTCGACGAGGATTGTGGTACTTCTTTGATGGGATATTGAAAATGCACTGTCATTCTTATTGTGTACTTGAAATTTTGGGTATAAATTTTGGTCGAACTTACTTCTGACAATACGTGTAATGCTTACACGTGTAGCTTGTAGCAAACATTTTAATATTTATGTTTGTAGTATAAGTTTCGACGAGGATTGTGGTACTTCTTTGATGGGATATTGAAAATGCACTGTCATTCTTATTGTGTATTTGAAATTTTGGGTATAAATTTTGATCGAACTGACTTTCTGACAATACGTGTAATGCTTACACGTGTAGCTTGTAGCAAAAATTTTTATATTTATGTTTGTAGTATAAGTTTCACGATTTATGTTCATACTTTTGTTGTTGTGCTAGTAACAGTACGAATGGTAAGCCATCGACGTCGCTCAAAGCACGTCATTACGGATCCTCTTGATTCATTAACGGTGCTTTTAGGCACCACAAGCACCGGTCACCGTCCTCGTCGAACGACGAAGGGCTCGACGAGCGAATTAACTGATAGACACAGCCCACTGAGTTTCTCGCCGGATCTTCTCAGTGGGTCGCGTTTCCGATCCAGTGGTAGATACTGCGAAGCATTGCTCTTGCTAGGGTCAGTGTTAGCAACTCGCCGGTTTGAGCCCCGTGAGCTCACCTACAAACGTTAGGGTGAAGCTGAAATAGCCTCTCAAGGCTATCAGCATAGGTAGGAGAAAAAAAAAAAGGTAACAGTAGCTGTTAATTTGTGCAATTCTATTTCTGAATACGATAATGTAATTCATCATTTTCTTTATTCATTTTTTCGAATAACTAACTGGATTTTTAATAGAGTTTCTGAATGAGCTTGAATATTAATTTGGATTTGGCATTGTTGAAACAGTAACTGTCATCAAATTAACCGAAATCTAAGAATTGTCGTGGCTTTACATAACCTGTTCTGTGAAAAAATATGGGCAAGTGGAACATTCAAATCTGTGATGATTTAAATCAAGAGGAACCAGAATGAACAACTTTCACATGTTCAAGATGTTTGGAGAAAATCTTCTAAATCAATGAAGTGCTAATTTAAATACGTTGGAGTCGTTGATGCTCAAAAATATTTTGAAATTAGCTATCGGATACTATTATATATATCATTATAATAAACGATAGCTCGTATAAGAAAGATAGTTGGGAATCTTCTAGAATGTAATTAATGGGTTGTAAGGCCTCAGCTTTAAGAGTACAACGGCTGCCCCGCCTTTCAAACCGAAACGCATTACTGCTTCACGGTAAAAATAGGCAGGGTGGTGGTACCTACCCGTGCGGACTCGCAAGAGGTCCTCTACCATCAGTAATTACGCAAACTACGGGGTTGATTTTTATTACACGATGTTATTCCTTCATCATGGAAATCAACCGAGAATATTTGTTAAGTACGAATTTCATTAGAAAAATTGAACACCGGTGTATCGCTAGATACGAATGCACAGGACATCTTATCCTTTAGTCCACGATGATTTCAAAATTGTGTGTGGTTCTTCAATTTTTTATGTAAGTAAGCTGTTTTAGCCTCTCAATAAATCCGCCATTAGCAACACAATTTTTATGTACCCTCAGTAAGACCGTGGACCCTCATGTATACGGGTAATACGAAAAATAAAAATAATATTTCATAGAATAGATATTTGAATTTCTTCTGAACTGAAATCACATCATCATTTTTTTGAATACTTATTACATTTATGAGTCTCTTGAGGAAAAAATATAGAAGAAACAAAATTATATGAAAATACAAATCGTAAACTTAGTAAAGCTGATTTAAAAATTCACTTTTCGAAATATATTCCTACAACTTTATCTATAAACCTTAGTGAAATATGTAAAAGGGTCAGTGTGTCGTATTGAATAACTATATAAAATATTTACTATGCGACCCGTCGTACGTCAGTGAAAGCTAACCACTAAAAACAAGAAAATTTTCCGTCGCTCTATCGAAAGTCATAAATATATTTTTGAAATTTTGTCTAATCTCATCATTATAATGTATGATAAATGTCAAGTATAAATATATTAAAGTGATTTTACGATTTTTGCAAGTCACAGGCATAAATAAAGTTACTTTTAACATTTAATCTCGAGGTTTTTTATTGTCACTGGATTTATTTACGACTTTTCAAATACTTTAGAGTTTCCTTTGCCAAGAACGACTGACTGATTGAATTGTGTGTCTTTTGTATGCAAGTTAGTTATATTATACTTATATACTATATAAAAATATATATAAAAAAAGTACATATAAAGTTAATGATAAAATATATTTTTACAGAATACGACATTGAAATAAATAGAATAATTTTCTTTAGAAAACAAATGTTCATAACATTAAACCAAACCATTTAAAGTATATTTTAAATTAATAATGCACAGTCATTGAGTCTTATAAAACGAAATACTATAAATTTTTTACTGTTAATAATGGTATTAAAAAAGTAATATAATTAGGAGGACGAGGATGATATATTAGAGGATTAGCTCACGGCTGAATTTGTATGAAGTTGGAACAGCTTCCCTTCGTTTGCCGTAGGGGCGCTGTTCCAACTCCATACAAATTTGTGTTAGCCTTTACGCGATCGAGAAGTTGAAAAAGTTGCACTAAGCACACCGGTGTTAAGAGGGATACAGGCCAATCACCTTACTCAACTTGTGACAGGACGTCTAAATTTCATTTATATTAAATAAAGGTGATCCCATCCTTCAATCCGGAACTAGCTTGCAGGCAAAATAGGCTGGATGGTGCTTATTACCTATGGAGGATTACATACAACACGTCCCATCAGTAAACCGTTGACTTGTCTGTTATTTTTCACGTACATTAGTTTAATTCAATGTGCATATTTTATTACCATAGATTTGGGACAAATCGGGACCCTTTCAAAATCCAATACAAATTTTCAATGGTTTTTCTTAGGGTAATACCAATAAAATTGAGATTAAAATGGTTCCGGGGGCTTTAATTTTTATATACGATGCGTTTTAAATTTTTATATATGAACTATGTATCGTTACAAAATATACACAAAAACTGAAAAACTAGCTTGACCCGATTCACCTTGGCTTTGGGGTGAATCAGGTTACGTATGGGGACAATGCAGTTTTTCGATAGGTCTGGCACTATTTAGTTTTAGGTAAGTACCTAACTTTAGGTAGTTCACTTTATAATGTCTTTAATGAGTTACAAAACTTTGATGACTATATTAAGCTATTCAATATTCTTAAGAACACAATAAAAGTCATTTTCAGTTCAACAAAGTTAAATCTAAGAAGTCAACAAAACTATTGCGACATCCCAGATTTGTCCCTATTCCAACTTTAGTCTCTATTACCCCCAATCTGCTGTAGGTACATCTTCTTATCAGCCCACAGACGTTCACTGCTGGATTAAGGCATCCCCCAAGCCTCGCCACAAAGACCGGTCCTGCGCTGTCTACATACAGCGGATCCCCGCGAACCTCAATAGATCATAGGTCCATCTTGTAAGAGGCCTACCCACGCTACGTCTTCCGGCACGCGGTTGCCACTCTAGAACTTAATGGCCCCAACGGCCATCCGTTCTACGAGCAATGTGCCCTATAAATAAAAATCGTATTTACTCCATTGCACTTTTATTAAATTCAATTTCCATATTTGATTACAGAGCGGAACTCTCAGTGACCAGCCATCCAATGAGAATAACAATGCAGGCGGCAAGGGCTCTGACTCCATCAATGCTGTAGAACCTTCATCCGATCAACTAGCAATGGAGTCTGCTGAACGAGATGCCCCAAGTCACGCATACAATGGACCTCCTCCTCCTGTACCACCTCCGCATAACAGACGACAGAACCCCCCACATCACCAGGCGCATCATCCCTTGAGTAAGTTATAATTTATAATTGTGTCTCAATAAAGATGTCGTTTCCTATTTGCCACGAAACGCGATGTAACTATGGAAGTGTTCTCGCAGACTTCACGCACGCAAACGCAGAATTCACGAATGACATTAAAAAAAAAATTCCTACCTATGCTGATGATAGCCTTGAGAGACTATTTCAGCTTCCCCCTTACGTGTGTAGGGAAGCTCACGGGGCTCAAGCCGGAGCGTTACTAACACTGGCCCTAGGAAGAGCAGTGCTTCGCAGAATCTACTACTGGGCATTCATAATGAAGGCCCATAGATATAACCGACTGAGTTTCAATGGATTGGGTTCCCGATCCGGTGGTAGATTCTGTGAACCACTGCTCTTGCTAGGGCTAGCTCACCTACCCGTACGCGCGTAGCTGAAATAGCACCTTAGGCTACCAGCGAATATTTAGGAAAAAGTAAATAACAATAATAATAATGAACTAATAGCATCGTGACTACTGGTAATTAGTATAATTGAATTGAGTACATATTCGACCTTATGTCTCAAAGCGGGTTGGCTACGAGATCGTCTGCTCATCAACACGTCTTGCATATGAATTTTGCAATTTTGTACTTGCAAATGGGACGCAACCCAATTAAGTATCTTGGTTGTGGGGCAATGTAGTATATCTTTAATTCCAACTAACATAACATGATGAAATATGAAACATGATGTTTAATCAATTCAGAAGTAGAGTCAAAATCTGTTGCGTATTTTATTGTTGCTTTAAGTAGAGGCTCGTCTACCCTGTTTGTAATCAGTCACTATCTTACATGGGCCTCAGTTTTTAGATACTAAAACAACATCGCAAAAAATGAGTAAAGTTGACCTTCTATTTTAGTTTCATAATACTAATTCAACAATAACAATAACAACGTCTTATTTACAATTACATTAAGTAACAAATTCGTATTATTTCGTTTCAGGCATGCCTCGAATCCCAAACCATCACCCGATGCACACAAAGCAGTATGCTCTTGGACCACCGGTTAACCACCACAAAAATGAACTAGGAGCCGGCTTCCGCGGACCACCACCCCCACCTGCGCCGCCAGCAGACGCACAAACATCAGCCAGCGAGAAAGTCTTCAGTGGCGCTGGCGATGTCTGGCCAGCACCAGCCCCAGATATGCCGAAAATCGTGTCTTTAGATGTCAAATGTGAAAAGAACGCCATGAGAGTATTCCTTAGCTTCGATAAGCCATTCTTTGGCATCGTCTTCTCAAAGGGACATTACTCGAATCACCAATGTGTACACTTGCCACCGAATCTAGGAAGAAACCAAGCATCTTTTGAAATTGGGGCACATGCTTGTGGAACTGCGGGTAGTGGTGACCCCAGATACCACGGAGATGTCGCAGCAGCCGGCACGTATTTCGAAAACGTTATCGTAATACAATATGATCCTCAAGTACAAGAAGTATGGGATCAAGCCCGTAAATTGCGTTGCACATGGCACGACCAATACGAGAAAGCGGTTACCTTCAGACCATTCCCTGTTGATATGCTAGACGTGGTCAGAGCAGACTTCGCTGGTGATAATGTCGGATGCTGGATGCAAATTCAAGTTGGAAAGGGACCCTGGGCCTCGGAAGTTTCTGGACTCGTGAAAATTGGACAAACCATGACTATGGTACTTGCTATCAAAGATGATGATGCGAAATTCGATATGCTCGTTCGAGATTGTGTAGCGCACGATGGTCAACGCGCCCCTATACAGTTAGTCGATAGGCGAGGCTGTGTGACACGACCGAAATTAATGTCCAGGTTTACGAAGATCAAGAACTTTGGTGCTAGTGCCAGCGTGCTCTCTTACGCTCACTTCCAAGCATTCAAATTCCCGGATTCCATGGAAGTTCACTTCCAATGTACCATCCAGATTTGCAGATACCGATGCCCGGATCAATGCTCCGATGGAGGGCCGAACGTTATAGCTCCTCACGCGGAATATGGGCCACCTCAAATTGACTCGTATCCTGTTGGAGCTGAAATCAGGAGAGACGAGAGAAGAGTCAGGAGACAAAGGCGGGCCACGTCTCCCGAAAAAGAAGTGGGAGTTAACAGAGTTATTCGCGTCGTTTCGGCTGGCGACCTCAATTTGGATGCATCTGAAGTCAGCTCCGCACCGAAGGTAGTGCCTTCTCCTGGTCTCGTGTGTATGACCACTCCGGGATTCGCGGCAACTTTAGGAGCCCTTCTCGTTACGTTAGTCTGTTCGTGTGCCGTATCAGCAGTTCTATTCCTGAAGCTGAGGCCTATAACTAAGCTGAAGAAGAAGACGATTGCCGTGACGACGATAGCCAGGCCTCACCCACCGACCGCTCACGTCATATCAAAGAGTCGCTTCTACTCGTAACAAAAACGTTAGCATGTGCTAAACTTGTAAATATTAGTGTGATGAGACTGACTGATGTATGTAGGTCATGCCAATTTTATTTATGTGCGTGAATGTTTGTGCGCTCAAATTTCGTTTAAAAATTATGTTTAAAGGCGTCGCGATTAATATTGTTATTTTTATTTATTTTTATTTATATTTTATACTTTGGTAAATCTAAATTCGGCATTTGTAACAAAAATATCAAAATTTCCGACGTCACAAATGTATTCCAATAAACAAATATTTAGTCTTAAATAAATAATAATAATATGATAAGTACAATATTTTTTTCTGTTACCTCTTTTCGAATGTTTATTAGAAACAGAGGCAACGGAAATAGAACGTGGTGTTTCAACGTTTAGGTGAACCGCTAGTTTTAGCTTAAAATAACTTGTCATTAGTATTAAATGATTATTTATTTTAATTAAGTTATTTATAGTCATTTTGTAAGAATAAAAATAATTTATTTATTTAACGCCACCTGAGTACCTCTTCGTAGTATTCTTTATATCTTTTGCATTTAACAGACGGTTTCAGTTTTGTTTGATCCGTGTCGGATTGTTTTTCATTAAGTATATTTGTATAATTAAGAAAGATTGTCATGAACGGAAAGTATGGTTATGTAATAGTTATTTGGAAATACTTATTAAATGTTAAAGCAGAAAAATATTGTTTTTTCTCTCTCTCTCTTTTTTTGACAGACATAGTATTATTGCCCTTTGAGTTGAGCACTTTTTGGACCGGTGTGATGAATCCTGGACACTGACGGCAGGGCTGGCCCATAAGTTAAGGGTCGCACAGCGGGCGATGGAGAGAGCTATGCTGGGTATTTCTCTAAGGGACAAAATCCGGAACGAAGAAATTCGACGGAGAACCAAAGTCGACGACATAGCTCTCAAAGCTAGCAGGCTGAAGTGACAATGGGCCGGTCACATCTGTCGAGCCAGCGACGCCAGGTGGGGCAGGAAAGTCCTCGAATGGAGGCCACGGATGGGTACATGGAGCGTGGGGCGTCCTCCAACCAGGTGGACTGACGACTTAGTGCGCACGGCGGGAAGTCGTTGGATGCGGAAGGCAGAGGACCGCATTATGTGGAAGGCATTGGGGAAGGCCTATGTCCAGCAGTGGGCAGATAAAGGCTGATGATGATGATGATGATGATGATGAATCCCGATTCCTTGCTTCACCTATTATTGACTAATGGAGTAGGTATAAAAGGAAATAAAACCATGACCGCTCGCATCGCGCAGTCGAGTGTTGTGTTTCAATAAGTGGTTTAGCAAGGCATTGGAGGATAGCGAAGGGTACTTAGAGTCATGCATAATGCAACCCATGCTCCACTAATCGTGATACCGCCGACTGCGAATGCGATAACGCAAGCTCGGTCTTCAGATTTTATTACATTTCGATCGGTTGAGGCCTCAGGCGTGCTTGTTTTTTTTTTCTGTTTTCCCTTCCTATTCACTAGTTAACTATTCCAGCTACGAGCGTACAGGTAGGTGAGCTCACGGGCTCAACTTATGGGAATTCGGTAATACTAGCCCTGGCAAGAGTAGCGATTCGCAGAATCTTCGCATCAGAATCGCGACTCACTAAGAAGATCCGGCGAGAAACTCAGTGAGCTAGAGACACATTTTCCACTAACAATTTCAGTATTTGGTCGTTAACATTGAAGAGCGGAGAGACCAGCCAATATACCGAGGTGGCTTGCTGCCGAAGCTTAAGGAGGGCCTTGCACCTTTCTTGTGGTAGCCGCAATGCATGTCGTCGTATTCATGGCTCTGTTCGATACGCGATGAGATAATGAAGCGATCACTAGACCACGCTCGAGTCCGATGATAGTGGTAGCGGTGTTTTGTTTAGTTTTGGTAGTGCCCGCTTTGGAGGAGGCGTTGTACGCAGCAAGTGCGTACTGAGCTTGGGATCGATGTGCTCACCTAGAACTCGCGTTAATTCTTCAAAAGTGTTTATGGATGGGATTCTCTTCAAAACATAAGTACATAGGTTTATAATAAAAATTTTCATGAAGTTCAGACAATATAGTTGTTGAAACCGGTACCGGTATTTATAGTAAACAGATTACCATATAAATATAAAATAAGGAACTTCGTTCCAATACATAATTGTTTTAAATTTCTATGCAGAATCGGTATCCGCGGAACGATATAACTGTTTCAAAAAATATATGTATATACCTAGTCCAGCCATAAGCTCTGTTACAAATGAAAATGTATTTTTTTTAATGAATTAAATTGTTAAAATTTATACCTACATATTTATTAAAGTCTCAGCACAATATTAAGAAAATATTCTAATCGAAATGGCCGTCTTTGGTTTTTATACAGACCTTTAATCTGTTTGGCCACAAATCTATGGATTTACGCACTGTCTCCAAGGGAAATTTTACCACTACTGGCTCCAAAAAATTTTTAAGAGACTCAATATCGCCGTGTCGTTTAGAGCAGGCCATGTCCTCTAAAACTGACCATAATTTGAAGTCTAAACGGTTGAGGTTTGGACTAGAGAGGGCCAGTCTTCAGCTCTTTTATAAATTCCGTAACGTTGGTTCCGAGCTAGGCTTGGATAGTTCGTGCCCTGTGACCAGGTGCAGAGACATGCTGGAAAGCCCATCGCATATTTTAAAAAAGTGAATTGCTAAGAGGTTTCACAACATGATCCAAGACTGTATCTTGATACACTTTGGCTGCCTTTTTTACTCCTTTTTCACAAAAATGTAGTTTTGTGACTCCTTAATAAGACACACCCCACCAAACCATCACTGACGCAAAATGATGAGCAGGTTGTACCTTTCCTAACACTTAAGCAGCTTCTTTAGAGCTGTGAGCGTACACTTTATCATTTTGCTTATTGCAGTGTACTTCAATCGTGAAATTTTTTTCTTCGGTAAAGAGGATATTTCTGTGCCTTTCACCTGCGTATCGCGACAGAAGGCGTTTTGATCGATCCACTCTCTTTAATTGTAAAAATTGATTTAGGGCATGTCCGACGATAAGCACTGAGCTTCAGGTCTTGTTTTATAATACGCGACAGAGTCCTAGCGGGAAAACCCATACCCACTTTGTGTAAGGCGATCACTGCAATGCTATTTTCTTTAACACTCCATTCCATATTGTAATTTGATAATGAACAAGAAAAAAATACGTGAAATAGCAGATAATCGAAAGAAATAAAGAAAGAATAGTTTTTAAAATAATGTACGTGTTCGAAATTCAAAATAATTAAAATGTTGAAAAAAAAAAAGTTCAACAGTATTTATGGCCAGACAAGTTATATGAATAGTAGAACGATAGTAAGGGGTAGTCGGTATTATTTCCTATTGACTACGATAGAAGTATAATTTTTTATTGCAACTTAAAAGCAAGAAAGTGATTTTGATTATTTTCTTATTATATTAGATTTATTACCACTACTACTGTACTGTGTTCTGTAATTCTGTGTTTGACAGATAACTGAAGTTAAAGAAAAGAAGACCTCGACTTCATCAGTGAACGGCGCCTTCAACAACTTACTGCCAAATGTTATTTAAGATCGTCTGATTATAATTAGCTCAATAAAAGTTCGGATGAAAAATAAACGACACGCTGTGAATACTCTCAACATATTATATTTAATTCCTCTAAACACAACAAGTGCTTTTACAACTTTTACAAAATAAAATAAATATTTTTATTTATCAGAAGAATGTTACATAAATAATACCCTAGAATATAATGTAATTGTAATATAATATAAACCACCGAAAGTACCTTTACCAAGTATCAGAATATAAAATAAATTGCACTACTAAATGAAAACGAATTTTATATTCCATGTAACTAAAGTATTATTAATAATATTAAATAAAATTAGTAAATACTAAATTTTTGGGTGACATGCTCATTTTCAATAACGTTAGTTCCACTGATCTTTCTAAATTAAAACATCATTTACTGACGTAAACGATAATTCACCACGATGAGCGATGATTGACATTTATCATTAATGACGTAAAATAGAGTATTCTAGAACAATGTTCAAGAGACCGTGTGTGAACATTATTTTAATAAAAAATGCAAAACTTTGAGCTAGAAAATGTCGTATTTTAAAATCGAGATTATTATATTATTTAATAAATCTGGATCAATACAGACTTTCCATTTACAGACGATCTCTCATTTAAATATATGTATAACTACTAACCCTAGCTTAATAATGATAAAATTGAGCAATAGTATACGAAAGGTATGTTTAGTAGAAAAATAAATGCAAAGTAAATGCAGTCCTTAGGTTAATATTAAAAAACTAAACTAGCTTAGACATTCATTGGTGTTTTATTCACATTACCCTAATTAATTTTAATTATATAAAAAAATTATAACATGTCACAATCACTGGTGTGTTGAAATTGAAAAAATGCCAAATTAATATAATGTTTAATGATTGGTTTATGCAAATCTTTCACGTAACCAGTGAGTTTTTTTTTATGTAAAATCGTTGTAATTACAATACAAATTATCTAAAAAAAAAACTATTAAAGTCAAAAGCTACAGTTACTGCGTTTTTTTTTTGGAGATTTTGGATTTTCATACAAAACGAATACGGAGACTTACAGTTATTTATATTTCGTTGAATTTTTCCCTTTCCTATGCATTTGATTTTTGTTTAATTATAACTTAAAACTAATGGCATGACTCGATCATACATAGTTTACTTACAGCTAAATCTTTATAGCTATAGCTTTATAGATATACTTTAGTAAAACCTTAGTCTGTTTCAGTAGCAAAAATGCGGAGCTGTATTTTTGTGTGTGTGTCTAATGAAATTTTATGGTAATATGTTGATGCTTTTTTTTTATATTTTTAAACTCCAAATACGTGATCATATGTACGATTATTTAGTTGTATTTTTCTCTAATGCATATATTAACAGTCGTAGAACGGTAGTATATATTTAAATGTAGCTATTTTGTAATATATTATATTTCTTTGAGAATTAAAAAAAATATTCGACAGGTTTCCAATAGCATTCTATGGACAACCAGTCATCTATTTGTCATGAGCTGTATTGATAAAACAATAATAAAAATAACGTAAACGAAGACAATGAAATTAATATTCAAGCAAATAGTTTTGCAGAAATATATCTTTTTATCGATTATTTTTCAACAGGAATTCTGCGATAAAACCCTTTAAAAATACGCAAGATATAAAGATTACATTTTAATAATAATAATAATATGTACAATGATAAATTCTTTGTCTTCGTTAGTAAATAAATAATTATTTGTGCGCTTGATTGTATTGCTATGCTTAATTAATGTAAATAATCTGTACAAATAAAGAAGATTTAAATGTTTTTAAGCGACTGAGTCCATAGTACGGCGACATAGCTCCATTAAGTCAATTAAACTAGAACCAGATTGTCCTTACAAAATAAAAAATTAATAAAAAACGATCGCTAAAATAAACCGTGATTTTAAAATAATTCAGTTTATATTTTTATTATTAATGAACCAGATTTGATTAATTTTGGTTTAATAGTGTATAATTTATGAAAATATTTAAAAAATTAAGAATATAATTTGAATATGACATTTCTTCTGTCAAAAATATTCATAATTGATTCGAAAAAATAAATCTAGTTCATTAAATTTTAAAACCTTATTCAATGACAAGACTGACCTCGCAAAGAATCTTAAACAGGAGAATAAAAAATAAAAATAAATTTATTACAAAATAATATATATCAGGTATCGAAAACTCTGTTCACATATTAATTACTATATATTTTTTCATAAATCAGTGGACATAAAGTATTATACTAAAAATTAAAAATACAGTTAATAAATTTAGAAACTGTATTATTTGATAGATAATAAATAGATTTACATTGGGGTTTATCCACTGTAAAACTATTTTTTTAATCACAACTATGATTTTTTCTTTAAATATAAATTTGGAATATTCCTTTACATTTAAATATTCAATTAATGTATTTGCCTTCAGGCAAATTGGGATAAGAATTAACGGGAGGTATTAAGGATTCATTTACACACAGAGTTTTTCGAGAAAGAGCGGTGAGATTTTCGTATACAATTATAACATAGGAGAGAGTTTTCACACAGACATCGATCGCCATAAGCCGTTTATATTGAATGATATTCAAGGTAACAATCATCTTACGTATAACGTAGGGTTTGTTTGCATGAAAATATAGAAGTTTTTAGTCACATAAAAAAAAATCTCCATGTGTAAACTTAGACACAATTCTTATGTTGGAAGACGAGTAAAGAACATTACGGACAAAAACGGAATAACAATCTAACACGCCATCATCCCTCGCGTGACATATGCGGGTGTGGAGGAGAGCCTAAAAGTCTCAAGGCCATCCAGGCGGCCAGGGAGTGTGCGGCGAGGGGCGGGGCGGGCGGCGCGGGCGGCGGGGGTCTCCGCGTCCGTATTCTGTGCAACATGATCGCGGCAGCAAACGCCGCGCCCGCCGCAGCGCCGGCAGCCGACGCGAATAATGCCCCGAAACTTACCGCTCCCATACAAATGCCGTAGACCACCTATCCAATACAAAAGTGTATTTATGATCAGCAATAGAAGCATTAATTTTTTTTTTTGGCTTAGATATGTGGATGAGCTCACGGCCCACCTGATGTTAAATGGTTACTGGAGTCCATAGGTATCTACAACGTAAATACCAACACCCACCTCGAGACATGAGTTCTAAGTTCAGTTTTCACAGTACAACAGCTGGTCCACCGTTCAAGTCGAAGCGCATTACTGCTTCGTGGCAGAAATAGGCAAGCTGGTGCTACATACCCGAGTCGGACTCACAAAACGTCCCACCACCAGTAAATTTAACACAAGACCTTAATAGAGAAGAGCATTCAGTACCCTTGTCTTTGCTTATTTCCATGAGCGACGGTACCTACTAACGTACGTAACGTAAGTACCATCGTCTGCCTTAAATCATGCTCAATAATTATTTGAGAAATTCTTAAAAATCTTTTTACGAATTTTCGAATTGGCATTTCAGAGAGCATTCATTAAAACATTTTACATGGCTTTCACGAATTTCAGGAAAATCGAATACATATTGGTTCGTCTTCAGATCTGCAACTTCTTCATTCTAAGATACGAACGTGGAGGAGATCACTGCCATTTAATTGTTTTGTTTAATAAGTTGAATGCCCTTTTGTGAAACTTTTCCACCATGTCAGAGATGTCCTCTGTCATTTTTAAAATACTATAACGAAATCCTTCTCAGCGTAATGATGACTTACAAACAAATTTACTACCATACTTATCATAGATGCCACGTCCAAGCAGGGTCAATTAAATTTGGAATTATTTTTTTAACAACTACTCAAATTTAACATGATACAGTAAATGGATTTTACCTCTTCTCGTATCCTTCCGCTAAAGACAGTAACCGGTTCTTTGGTTGGTCCACTTGGCCCAAAATCTAGGTCAGCCTCAGACACTACTTCATAAATGCCCGAAACGCCAACATCTGCAGACCTGGCATCGCGGACATTACGCCTTTTCCTCAAAGACCTGGGGCCAGCGACAGCGGGACTAGGAGGCTTGATCATAACTTCTTCTCCGAGATCAGGCTTGGAGTTGAAGTTGCGTGGGCCATGTGGGAACCTTTCTCGATCACTGAGATCCGTGGGATGGTCCTGAGAAGATAATTTTTTTCAGTTTTTATTTAAAGTCAAACAACTGCACGTAACACGAATACCCATTATTATATTAGACGCTTTCTTAATTCAACTTTCATTACTCAAGAATGAACTAGCATGTAAGTATATGAATTCAAAATCCATTATATCAACATAACAAAACTTTCTAATGATACATTATTCTGGTAGTGATACAGTACCGTCTAACTGATCTACTGATAGACCGGCAAGTTGGAAAACTGAAGACTATTGGTATGAGCAAACGATATCCACTAAAGTGAATCATAAAAGTTAGGGGAATGATTGCTAACATTCTTCTGATAGCCTTCATAGACAGTTATTGGACTTATTTCATTCCCACCTCCAGTCACACTTTTCATAGTTTTAATTCTAGGGTAAGCTCGCATGTATCGCTGGCATTTACGTACCTAATTCTGCGGTGAAGTAATCTTGGGTTTCGGTTACATCAGATATGATAGGTTATTGCAATCGAGTTTTTAGTATCATGAAAACTTTTAAATTCCGTCAAGACCTTGATATCATGAGAGCCGTACGTCATAACGGAACTTACATTGAAAGGCCTGGATAGAGCCTCAGCTAATTCCTCAACAGCAGCAAGATGATCTGTGTCAGGTTCGACGACGGGTGCTGGTGATCGCTGCAGCAGTGGTACCGGAGCTGGTACCGCTTCACCAGACACTTCATCACCGAATGCCTCTTCTAATGGAAGGCGTTGGTTTTCGATCATACTTGTATCATCTTCGGCCGTTGAGTCACTGGAAATGCAGATATTAATGCGATTCAGGACTTGTACTTTTGGTAGGTTAATTAATTTAATTTGTTATTTGAATCGGGAATAAGATAATCGATTAGTCACATTTTGGGCTCTGGTGGTCGAGTGTTGTAAACCTGCAGAGCTACGCTCCAGCGTCTTAACTATTTTGGCCGTCAAGCAATCATGAATTTCCCTTTAATGGCTTAACATTCTGTAACACAAGTGATACTTCCATCTGATGTCTCAAGATAGGTGTTGGCATTCACCTTGGTATATGATTGATAAATGCATCAAGTCTACAATGAGCTCTCGTCTTTCTATTTTAATTAAAGCAATTGAAAAGGAAAGAGGAACAAAAAATTAACAGACGTCTTAAATATGCATGAAATTCAGACTTCGACCACGCATGCCAGATCTATTGGCTACGTGGCCTTTTTTTGGCCTTAACTTTGCACCTAGGTATTGCCTATAACCTCCTAAAAAACGAAACTTACTTAATCTCATTATGGTCTTGATGAGTTCTGTCGTCTTTCCTGTCCAAAGCGCCGTGTCGTTGAGGGGAGAGACCGGCCAGCTGACAGTGGTCCAGACATCCGTGCCTGCAGATCTCCACTTTACACCTAATATGCACGCTCAAAGCATCCGGAAATTTGAAAGCATGGAAGAACGCATAAGTTATGACCGATGCCCTTTCATCTGCCGCTTTCGCTTTAAGGAATCTGTAAGTTGCAAAGCAGAGAGGATTTAGTTTCAATTGGAACATTTAATAAAAAATTCAATTTTCAAACAATGCTTTATTTAAGGGTGAGTATAGAGAGCTACACGCAAAGTACGCCAAAGAGAAATCCTCTAACCAACAGGTCAACGATCTCACGCGACCCGGGGCATATCTACTAATGCTTATTAAAATTTTTAGAAGTATGATTATCAGTCTCTGGTTCCTATAGTGTAGAGCGGCCTTTCCCAAAGTGGGCGATAGCACCCCTTTGTGGGAGAACCAAAAAAAGGAGGCGTTGTGTAGAGGCTTGGGAGGCGATTTGTAATTTCATCTAGGAGGACTCTTAGACACCGACTGAGCTCTCGCTATAGTGGTTTTTAAGTAGGTGAAAAAATGGAGGCGCTAAAAAATTATTTATTCTCAAAGTGGGCAGTAGACAAAATAAGTTTGGGGATCCCTGGTGTAGAGAATAGCTTGGAGGCAGGTGACATACGCCTGATTTGTGACCGATAAAAAAAGGTTATTGCTATTACCTGGAAATCATCTTAGGCCTCAACACGCATCCATATTCGTCGGATAGCTGTATGACATGACCTGAGCCGTCTGAGGCAGCGCAAGACTTAACTCTCATGTCAAATTCACCTGAAACAAAGACAATGCAATCATTTGTAAGGACTGAATTATTAAGAAACTTAAATCTATTCTAGATTCGCCGAGCTAGTAGTTGAGCTCACGGAGCTCAAACCTGACGACGTTACTAACACTAGCCCTAGCAAGAGCCGTGCTTCGCAGAATCTACCACCGGATCGGAAACGCAGCCCACTAAGAAGATTCAACGAGAAACTCAGTGGGCTGTGTCTGTGGGTTAATTTACTCGTCGAGCCCTTTGTCGCAAGTGACGGGTTCGACGAGAACGATGACCGGTCAAATCAATGAGTCCACTGTGCCGTATGATAGCAACCCTTTTTAAGCTGATAAGATTATTGCAATTGACACTTTAAGTTCGCGTGTCACAGTGGATATTCACATGGCGCTAGCCTTAACTCGTATTTTGCGTCTAACTATACCTGATAATAATAATCAATAATTTTACACGCAAAAATTTTAAATAAGATGTCATATTCTTACTTCCCCTAAGCTTTCGATTCTCTTCAAACTCATTTGATAATTCACGCGGAAGAATATCTACAAGATGTTATTTGTTATTACTTCGACTATTTACAACGTTTGTCATTGACAAACAATTAACCACTTAAAACGGTCCATTCGGAAACTCGTTAGCTTAAAGATTAACGCAAGCGCCACTCCTTCAAAGTAAATGTACTGATGTTTAAAACGAAGACGGAAATATGTTACAACTAAAACAAAAGAAAGTGGGTGAAACTTTTGTTTTTAGGAATGTCTCCGGAAAATCGGTTTACAAGGTGCTCTATTGTGTGTGCGTTAGTAAAAGATGGAAAAGATTTGCCTTTGTCAATACTTTTACAAACTTGCATGTATTATTTAGACAATTATGAATGTCTCTATACATCAAAGTTTTGTGATAACAATTATCCCGCCTTTAAGAATAGAGTTCTCGATTGAAAAAGTTGGACATGGATATGCACTGGTCCAGATTAATAACTCAGTGCTTCCCATTGCTCAAGATAGGACTTATATAAGGAATTAGAAATAAAATGATATCAAAAAATTTACAAATTTAATGGTATAAGCACACGGGTTGTAATCAGGCCTATGTATATTTTTACCATCAGTTTGAAGGTGGGTCAATCGCACGTTCAGATTTCGACATGTCTAAACCTAAGTAGCAACGTTCTTAGGTTCTAATTATTTATATAAAATGTGAGAGGACTATGGATTTACTGTATAATTTTCTAGGTCACGGACTACACTGTACATTAAATAAAATAAACTCAATAGTGAACAGGAAATGTTATTAATCATTTAAAATATAAACACCAGGACTAGCTAGTGCTCTTGTATACTTTAAGATTGAAAAATTTCATTACATATTCACGCTTAAAGATTTTCGACTTTATGCGATAAGAAGCATTATGTACTTTGTGAAAAAATGCTTTGTGTCAAAATGAGTTTTTCGTACTTTCTTCGGCTGCCAACTTCTACCGACTATAATAGTTAACGGAATTATTTAAAGATATTACTATAGAGATAATCGAATATTAAGGCGTAATGTCTTTAATACATATTTTTAATGCACATTTGCGAGTGCTTAGTGTGATAATCGGAGCTTATAGATATCATAAACATGTATACTGGCTAGTTGCGTCATGTCGTCAAAGTCTTAATTATATTGTAAAATAGCTCTCCCACCCTTAAAACTGGAACACCTCACTGCATCGCAGCAGTAATACGCCGAATAATTTTAATTACCCAAATAGTATTAGAAACGATTGCAATTTTAAAACTTCATTTTCAGACGGGAAATTATGAGCAAAATTATGTTTTTTTTTTTTGGTAATGTTAGTAGACGATCGCGTTAGACTCAATTATCGAATTGTCAATTTCGTGTCAACGCACTACATCGAAACACATCCTCAAGTAAACTTGAATTAAGGCAGACATAATTAAACAATTGAATAGTTAGAGCGAACGTGTTCTCGACGATGTAAAAACTCGCATCGTATTCCCGCAACTCTTTTAGAGATACTAACCGAGACATTAATGGAAACATGGCCCTTCGAAACCATTTACACAAACCTACCGAACTATGTACGTCAATTATCGGACATAATTTCCTCGAACTTCAAAACAAAACTTAGTCGAAAATGTAATCTTAGATATACTTATACTTAAATAGCAGCGTACTTTAAACTAGACGTCTCAATGATATACCCTTCGATTTCCGAGTGTCATTGAACCTTAATTTTACATAATTAATCAAGAAATACCATCAAACTTCCGTCCGCATTTATACCGAAATAACCTCTCATTACTTTTACATCGTAAATACCGAATACTAGTTTTCCCGGTTTTTTTTTGTTGTTGTTGTAAATTCGCATACAAAAAGCCTCATGTGAAATGAGGTGGAGACCATGGACATCACGAGGTGATTGCAGGCACCCATCTTGAGGCACGAGTTCAAAATCTCAATGGTTACAGATAAACGCCGCCTTATTCTCTAAACTGGAATAACCAAATAAATTACCCGTACTTTGTTTAACATGCTAAGTGAAACTTTCCAATAAGTTTCCACAAAACGATTAATTATAAACCTTTTCATATGCTTAAGAATTTAGTCAAAGAACGCTTACACGACATGATATTTATTATAGACTTAACGATCAGCTATTAGGTGGTACTTTTCAAGTTACCTATGTTATTGTGGTTGTGCTAGATTAGGTACCGTTTTTTTTTGTTATATTGGTGATCTACAAATTAAAGAGCGGACGGTTAGCGTGGTATGGACATGTGATGCGTAGAGAGAAGATGCATGTGACTAGGAGATGTATGGTAATGGTAGTGCAAGGTAGAGGGAGAAGAGGTCGACCGAAGAAGACATGGATGGAGTGTGTGAATGACGATATGAGAGAGAGAGGAGTGAGTGTTGAGATAACGGCTGATAGAAGAGAATGGAAGAGAAAAATTAACTGTGCCGACCCCACCTAGCGGGATAAGGTAGAGAAAAAAAAGAAGATTGGTGATCAAAACCAAACCAATTATGTTTGTTTCGCCGGTTCTTCAAGAAAACTACAGCTCTTGTTGAAGCAGACGATAAAGTTAATTTTAACATTCAATAAATGCGGTAATATCTTCGACTTTCGCGATTCGCAGACATAATATTTACGTTAGCGTTTTCTATTGTCATTATATCGAGGAGTTAAAGATTATATTTTGATTTAAAGCGAAATTTTTGCAACTCTACAGGAGAGCCATTTGAAGTTTAAAATTAAGAAAAAATATCGCAACAAAAAAAAACTTCTTCGGCTATTTAAATGGAGTGAAACTTAATTGAAACACAATTAAAAAACATCGAACTGTTGATGCTAATACCAAATAAAACTCACCTTTAATTACAAAGATAAATGGCGCGTATTAAGCGAAATGACGCTTAAACCAAAAAACCTTTCACCCCTCGATATTATTTTTGACGTGCTCACGAAGACGACTCTCAGAGTTGCGAGATTAAGCCGTAAAAGTTGGTTTGGATTATGCTCAATAACTACGTTAGGGGACATTGAAACAAATCCTATGAAATTTGAAGTCGTCGTGGCCTAAAGGATAAGACGCCTGGTGCGTTCTTGCGTACATATGTGTAGCGATACATCGGTGTTCGAATCCCACCAGCAGGTACTAATTTATCCAATGAAATACGTACTTAACAAATGTTCACGATTTACTTCCACGATGAAGGAATAGCATCGTGTAAAAAAAATCAGATCTGCAAAATTATAATTTGCGTAATTACTAGTGATAGGACATCTTGTGAGTCCGCACGGGTAGGTAACACCACCCTACCTATTTCTGCCGTGAAGCAGTAATGCGTTTCGGTTTGAAGGGTGGGGCAGCCGTTGTACTCTTAAAGCTGAGGTTTTACAACTCATATCTCAACGTGGGTGGCGGCATTTACGTTGATGTCTATGGGCTCCGGTAACCACTTAACACCAGATGAGCCGTAAGCTCGTCCATATCCATCTAAGCAATAAACAAAAACAAATATTTATGAGTTTTAAAACAACGCACTTCGAATACGTGGCGATAATTGTGAGACGGGCGGTCCTGCTTGGCGGGTCCGTTAAGTAAATTCATTCGTACATATTTGTCCAGTTTTTACTATTCTCTGGTACCGTTAAATCGTGTTTACTCAGCATTACTGCCCTGAGCCAGTACCAGTTTCGGTTTCACGTGTGAAAAACGCGTTCCTGTGATAATGAAAGTTACGTTTGACTTCTATGCCACTGATCCTCTTGTAGAATTCAGAACGTGTATTTTTTTTTTATTACTTAGATGTGTGGACGAGCTCACAGCCCACCTGATGTTAAGTGGTTACTGGAGCCGATAGACATCTACAACGTAAATGCGCCACCCACCTTGAGATATAAGTTGTAAGGTCTCAGTATAGTTACAACGGCTGCCCCACCCTTCGAACCGAAACACATTACTGCTTCACGGCAGAAATAGGCAGGGCGATGGTACCTACCCGCGCGGACTCACAACAGGTCCTACCACTAGTAATTACGCAAATTATAATTTTGCAGGTTTGATTTTTATTACACGATGTTATTCCTTCACCGTGGAAGTCAATCGTGAACATTTGTTGAGTACGTATTTCATTACAAAAATTGGTACCCGCCTGCGGGATTCGAACACCGGTGCATCGCTTCATACGAATGCACCGGACGTCTTATCCTTTAGGCCACGACGACTGTATAATTTAAACTCGGCCCAAATCACTGACACCCCAAGGATTAGATTAATTTTACGTCACATCTTCTCTTCGGTTTTGTTATTTAAATTGGAAACAAAACTGAGCATTGCCAAAACAATTTATTATAACATTAACGCTCGAAAAACTAAACAAATCAACAAACTAAAGCTAAACAAAAGTAAAAAGAAGTACAACCAAAAAGTTTTGTTGTTTTTCTATTTAGGCAATTAGAGATTTGTATGATTGTAATATAATT